ATCAGGAAAATGCAAACTAAAGGTACTTTAAGATACTACATCTCTCCGATTAGAATGACTATCATGAATAAACCTGACAAATGTTTTTTTATATATATTTATTAAAGATTTCTGCCTCCTCCCTGCCACTGCCTCCCATTTCCATCCCTCTCCCCCAATCAAGTCCCCCTCCCTCGTCAGCCCAAAGAGTAATCAGGGTTCCCTGCCCTGTGGGAAGTCCAAGGACCACCCACCTCCATCCAGGTCTAGTAAGGTGAGCATCCAAACTGCCTAGGCTCCCACAAAGCCAGTACGTGCAGTAGGATCAAAAACCCATTGCCATTGTTCTTGAAGAAGATATGAAGAAAGAGACACCCTTACTCACTGCTAGTGGGAGCTCAAATTATTACAGCGTATATGGAAATCAATTTGGAGGTGCCTCAAAACTTTAATAACAGAACTTCTATGTGACTCAGTTATTTCTTTCCTGCACATATACCCAAAGAACTCCACACAATACAAAAGATGTATTTCTATGTCTATATTTACTGCTTTTCTTAATATAGAAAATTTTGATGCAGTTATATTGTATATTGATATAGTTATACAATATACAATATATTGTATATTGATACAATAACTGCTAAATTAATGATATGAAATATCACAATATTTCAAAATGATATGAATAGCACAAGCCTCCAAACTTTTGTTTCCTATCAGCATTGTCAATAACATTTTTTAGATACCATGGTTTTTCATGTGAGCCATTGCTAAGGAGTCTTCCTCCATCTCAGTTTGCCTTAATTCAAATTATTCTTTACATAGTTTTCCAAATGTTCTTTCTAATAGTGGGGCTGATGGAAATGTATTCCTTCTTTAGCACTGCTGCTAAAGTTTACTGGATTTGTGTCTCCATAACCTTCCTCACCTCCCTTACCATATTACCAAGAGGACTTTTAGGTCCTCTTCTTCTCTAGCTTGAATCTTCCTTATGAGTAAACCGCATTAGTGTTTCCTTCCACCTTTTGAATTTGGTTCATGAACATCATTTAATTATCAGATACAGTTGTTAAATGAGTTGTGAGCATCATGCTAGAGAGGCAAAACACATTCAAGAGCTATTATGATACAATAAGCTGAAATGAAGCCCCCAGCATCAATAGAGAACAACTATAGTTCATCAAAATATTAAATGCACCATCCCAAGAAGACAATGAAGGCAAACTTTTTTGCAAGAGTTGCAATTTGAATTCACTTCTGTTAAATAGCAGTACAGGATTTGAAGAAGCTCAAGTCCATTTGTGGTTATGTGTACAATATACCTAATACTCTCTATAATACACTCAAACACTAAACCTAGATAATTACAATGAATAATTACAATGTTAACAAATATTAATAAGAAGTAGTCTAGTTTTGGTTGCCATATCACCGATCTTAAGAAGCCCATTTTTTACTAAATCAACCATTCTGGTTTGAAGTTCCTCGATCACAACTATTAATAAATGATAAGCTTAGCAGTCGACGTAGTTATTCTCATGTGTGATATTGTTATATCACACAGTTTTAAAGTGATGCTTTCCAGCAATATTTGTCATAGCAAGAACCCAGAAACAACCTAAATGTCCCTCAACTGAAGAATGGATAAGGAAAATGTGGTACAGTTACACAATGGAGTACTACACAGCAGAAAAAATTAACGACATGTTGAATTTTGCAGGCAAATGGATGGAGCTAGAAAACATCATTTTGAGTGAGGTAACCCAGACCCAGAAAGACAATTTTCACATGTACTCACTCATAGGTGGTTTTTAATCATAAAGCAAAGATAACCAGCCCACAAATCACAATCCCAGAGAATCTAGACAACAATGAGGACCCGAAGAGAGACATACAAGAATCTAATCTACATGGTAGTAGAAAAAGACAAGATCTGCTGAGTAAATTGGGAGCATGTGGACCTTGGGAGAGGATTAAGGGGAGGGGACAGACAGGGAGGGAAGCAGAGAAAAATGTAGAGCTCAATAAAAATCAATACAATTTAAAAAAAAGAAAAAAAAGAAATGTGAACTAAATCATCAGACCACAGTAATGTGGTGCTTTCCCAGTGTAGTAAAGAGCCCACTGCCCTCTTGAAAGAACGTTTGTAGTCAATGTCTTCCACATACCATGACAACAGCTGCTGCATCCACATTGTGTAGTCTCCTTGAATCATTCAAACAAACACAGTGTCTAGGAAGGTAAAATATCTCAACCAAACTTTGGTCCAAGAGCCAGCTGTTTAAGCAGTTGTATAAAGGATGTCACTGAGAGCTTCCTTGCTTCAAGATTTTATATTGTGTTTTATAAATGACACAAATATTTGTTTTCTTTTAGAATTCAAATGGATTGTCCACAAATTTATTCATCATTTTGTGTTTTTCTTCACGTTTCTCTGCTGGAAAGATAACGTTATTAGAATTGGAAGTGAGTAAATTGAAGTAAACTTTGGGCTTTGAAAAACAAATTTACCCCACCATCACCTAAACAAAACTGTTGATTTCAGTTATGCTGTTCAACTCCATAGATTGTTTCCTTTGAAGCCTTATATCCAGAATTCCTCTGTATTCACTATTTTTCTGTTGCTGTGAATAATGCAATGACCAAAAGGAACTTAGGGTAGAAAGGGACTTATTTTTGTCTTTCAGTTCCAGAGGAAAAGAGTCTGTAATTGCTTGCAAGACATGAGGTCAGGCTAATAAGTCATGTGCCCAGAGCTAGAAGCTTGCTGATCATATTTCTTCTGCATACAAGAAACAGATTGAAAAGCAAGTGGGGGCTGACAATAAACTGCCAAAGTCCACCTCCAATAACCTCCTAGAGGTTCACTAACTTTCATAAACAGCACCACCACCTGGAGAACAAGTGTCCAAACACATGTGCCTTTGGGGGACATTTCACATTTAAACTAAAGCCCTCTGGAGCTACTTCTTCCATTCTACTTTTACAGTTCACAGAGGTTTACCTGGTTTGGTAAAGAGACTGAAACATAAGGTAGATTACATGACTTCGCTTTCAAATGACTGTTCTGCCACTGGAGATTTAATTTGGTGTTAGAGTGTTTAGCTGAGAGACAAGGCCTGGGTTTGGTCTCTAGTATTGCATAGAGAAAGTGAGTTCTGTAACTTTAAAGATATATTGCATTTTTTTAGCAAAGTGTGAGAAATAGAAATAGAATAATATTGGACCAAGTGACAACCATCTTCTAATTTTCCCTGACTGGTAGTACTGGTTTCTTGTGTCACTCTGATTCAAAAAGCCATTTTAAATTTTAATATAACTATTATAAATGTCTTAAAATACATCATCTGGGCCACATGACTCAGAATAGAATGACTTTGCAGGATATATGCCAAGGGTAAATGCCTCCAAAGAAGCAAGTAAGTAATCATGGAAGCCATTAATAATTAAAACAATCAAAACAGTCGTTCAAATCAAGCCTCTATTAACTTTTCTAAGAGCCTCTTAATTTCTCATGTGAGATATAGCATAATAATTCTGTAGCTGGCCTCCTTCCCAGTACAGTCATCTGGCTCATCACCAGGTCAATAAGGTTCATATGAGGAGCTTCACAGACTTACCTAGAGTTTGGGGTTCTGGGTATTCAAGCTACAACTCATTATGTTATTATTATAATAAATAAAATTAGAATGTAAATTAATGAATGTTAGTGTTTAGATAATTGCACTAAATCTTTGTCAATAAGTTGCATTTTTACCATTGAAAAATAATTTATTTTCAAGAAACTTCGTTGAGTTTAAGGATTACAATGGCGTGAATTTTTATAAATGTGTCATCAAGTAGCCATCACAACAACCGAGATACAAAATATTTCTATCACTCCAAGATAGTTCTAAGAAGTCCCCCTAAGCTTGTGTTCCAATGCTGCAAATCCAGGTCCCTGGAAAGCATTGGCTTTCTTCTAGAAGAGGCTTGCCTTTACTATAATTCGTGTGATGAACAGCATGCTATCTAATTCTGTATGCCCGCTTTCCTTTACTTACCATGATTTGAGGGCCCATCCATTTTGTGTGGTGGTGTTACACCTTAATATTTCTAAGGGATGTTTTGAAATATATATGCTGTACTTCATTTCTATTTTCAATTGATGGATATTTGTTTTGGCTAGATTCAATTTTTGCCTAAAGCAAAGATATGACTTATGGTTATGGAGCACAAGTCTTGATGGTGACCCAAAGTTTTCATTTTTGGAAGTACAATTTTGGTGGTATGGCAAAGCATGCTCAATATAGTAGAAATTTCCAAATTATTATCATAGTACCATTTTATGTTCCAATCAACAATGTGTGAGAGTTCAACTTTTCAACACCCTTATAAACATGGATTATTGTGTGACTTACTCATTAGAACAATTTTACTGGTTATGAAATAGCAGTTTATTCTGGCTTCATTTTGAGTTCTCCTAGTAATATTAGACATGCCTGGTGTGGTTGTCATTCTTATATACAGTTTGTGTTGTAGTTGTTGTTAAATACCTGTTGTCTGTTTCTGAGTGGGGCCTCCAGCAGTTGTAGCTGGCTGATTTTATCAACCATTTTCTGCTTGTAGAAAGGGGGAGTTTAAGAGCTTTGTTCATTGCACATGTTCCTTTTCTCAGAGCTAGAGGCTCAAAGGACAGAACCAGTGGCCACAAAGTCTACAGCCCAGCGAGTTTTGAGGAAACTACAATTCAATGATGTCACATTTCTATGTGAACAGAAGCATGAGTCTATTTACACATTTCAAATTCAACATATTTGCCACTCCTTGAGATATTTGATTGATTATATAACATGTTCTTTAGCCAAAGGAATGCATTTTAGTGGTCAAGAGAATTGATATTTTCTAGATATAGTATCTACTGGGAAACTTTTTTTTTAGAAATACTATTGCATAATAATAAAAAGTTGTCCTTACTTGGTAAGTACATATACTCAAATTGGAGCAATACAGATACTATTGCATAATAATAAAAAGTTGTCCTTACTTGGTAAGTACATATACTCAAATTGGAGCAATACAGAGTTTAGCACAACCACTATGAAAAGATGACACACAAATTTTGTGAAGTGTTTCATATTTTTCAGATGTCTTTCAACTGAAAAAAAGATTAAGAAAATTTGGCACATTTATGCAATGGGTTATTACTCATTGGTTTAAAAACTGACATGAAATTTGCCTGCAACTAGAAAAAAAAACATGCTGCAAAAGATATAACTCAGACACAGAAAGATAAATATGCATCACTGATAAGTGGATATTAGCTGTTAAGTAAATGATGATCAGGTTACAATCCACAGAACCAGAAAGGTCAGGTAAAGCAGAGGGCTATGGGGAAATCATGGATCTTTCTGGGAAGGGGAAATAGAATAGATTCTGGGGGTTTATGGGGCAGATAGGGATGGGAGCAGGAGGGATCAGGTGAGTGGGGGTGGAGGGAGAAAATGCCAGGAGAGACTTCTGGAATTGGGGGGAGTTGGGGGTATGGTGTGGAAATCTAATATACTAAAAATTTCCTGGAATCTATGAGAGTGATCCTAGTGAGAACTCCTAGTAATAGGGGATACAGAGACTGAATGGGCCATTTCTTGTAGCCAGGCAAGACTTTCAGTGATGGCACTGGGTTACACTTGGTTGAGTTGTTGGCCAAGAAGGTCCTGTGGAGATTCCTAAGCAACTCAAGTGGATTGCAGATTCCTAAACAACCAAAGGACAGGGGATTGCTCTCTGAAAACTGTCAAGAGCAAAACATCCTCACAGCTCTTTAAACACATAGAAGGCAAGTTGGTGAGGGCTTGGATTGTTCACCCCTACATTTTTGTCTCTTTGGCAGAAGGTACTCTACAGACTATGGAAAGAAAAGCCTGAACACCAACCCAAGGACAAGCCTCTGCAGTCTGCCCTGCCTGCAAAACCTGCTGGGGCAATAGTGGCACAGAACTTGTCGGTAGGACCAACCATTATTTGGTTTAACATGAGGTCCTCACCACGAGAGGGAGCCCATGCCCTACACTAACTGAATGGCCGGGAACCAGAGACAAAGGAGCCCAGAGACCTAGGAACCAAACACCAGTGGGGGAAAAAAAAATAATGAGGGGATTTCTATTGACATTCTACTATACTCAGAGATTGGTGCCTTGTCCACTCGTCATCAGAGAGGGTTCTTCTCGAAACAAATGGGAGTGCATTCAGAGATCAACAGGCAAACACTATGCAGAGAAAGTCTAAATTGAAGGTCTCTATCAGGACACTCCTGCTGGAGATCCAATAACTCAGCAGAAGAGGGAGGTGAAGACTAGAAGTCGGATGGGATGGAGGCCACCAGGAGTACACGGCCCACAGCTTCAACTAAACAGGGACCACATGGGGTCACAGAGACTGCAGCTGGAAGGAGTGGAAGGAGGGGAATTTGTGGATCGAATGTATTCTATGAGAAAAGAATATATTTCAGTTTTTCAAAAAGGCGAGAGAAAAGAATTAAGCATTTAAGAATGGTTTGAGATCAGATACAGAAATGCATTCATTTTCTAAAGTTTCCACTGTAATAAATCATAACTTAAAGCTTTCTAAATGAAGATTTCATGGTAAGCAGATGACATCAACATCTATGCAACTTTTTGACAGAATGACTAATAATTAATGTAAATATATATGTGTGTGTGTGCACATATTTATGTATGTATACAGAATCCAGACTTATAGAAGGATTTAAAATCATGTTAAATTTAGAATTGGTATGAAATTTTAAAAATTACTAAAAGCATATATTATTATTCTTTAATATCAATAATAGTTCCCCCCCCATTCCTTTGAAATAACTCATCTCGAGGCATGTTCTGCTTGATTTGGGGTTTTATATTTCTCTGCTCATTCTACTTAGTTTCATTATTATATTTTATTACAGATCTTATCTATTACTTCTTCTGCAATTTCCATGTGTCAACTTCTAGAATCACAGTTTCTCTAAGTTACACAGGATGCAACTTTTAAATGTAATTTCTGCTTAGATTTGTGTAACAAATTGCCATTGAAAAAATGAATTCTATGGAGTAAGTACATTTTCTCATTTGAATGAAGGACATGAGGCAAATTTTCACTGAGAAAAGCAAGTTATTAGTATAGCTAGACGGCTTTACAGAAGACAATGGCTAAATCAGACATTTCATTTATATGTTGATCAAATTTATGGTCTGTCTATTAATCAAGTCCTTTGCTAGTTTTGACTATTTCTTAGTATTTAATCTTCTTAATTCAGTCTGCTTAATAAACAGGAGAAAAACATTAGTGCTTGATCTTGACTACCTTTTGAATAAACATCTACTTAATGCAATTTGCCCTTTGGAAGAAATATAAAAACTAACTATTTTTGTTTATCTTTACGTATCTGATAACTGCCTTATGATGATCGATCATTTATATATGGAGTCCAAGTGCTGTATGTAATACAACTGTGCCGAGTTACTAGAGAAATAGCTATCTAAAACTTGCTAGACTGGAGACATTTTTTATTCAGTTTTCATACATCCTTTGACACGAATAGTATTACAGAGATTTTAAATACTGAAAAATAGATTTAAAGCAATTAAGCTTTGAATTTATTTAGGTACCAAGAGGTAGCACGAAAATATTATCTTCTGTGAGGTGTCAGATTTTACCCTGCCAGTTCCGTATGTCACTGATGCCAGGAGGAAAAGCTCTGCTTTAAACCAAAAGAGACAAGCTATATTCTGAGCAGATCTGTACCCATCACTAAAACATACACTAAGGTTCAAAGGTGATTCTCATGAAATGCTTTCTGTCTGTAGAATGACCAGTTAAGACACGAACAATTATGAAATGACGCAATCAAAAAATATTTTCCATAAAACTTTCATTCAAAATATTGGTCATTACATTTTGAAATTCAACCAATATTTTAAAAGTGTCCCTTGGTTTTAATTCTGGTAATAAACAAAGATAGAGGGCTGAAAAGCAAATTGTAAAACATTTCTATAGAGCATTGTTTTCTGTTACAAAGTCAGCATCAAAGAAAAGGCAGTAGAGAAATCGCTAAAAAGAAACAAAATCTTCATCATATGAATAGAACACTGCCATTATAAGCAAAATGTGGAATATCATTGCCATTTAAAAGATAAGGGTGATGATTCAAATACAACTGCAGATTGTATTTAATGCATTGTGCATTGCAAAGCCTGGTAACATTTTCTTCCATTCTTCTCCCTGTGTCCCATCTTTTCAATTTATATTTTTCAGTTTAGATCCAGCTTAATATTTTAAGGTGCCTGTGTGTCTTAGGTGAAAATTGCTTGGAAATCCAGCAGAAGACAGTGTTTTAGTGGAGAAAATCAATTTGCTGAATGTTCTCAGGTGAACAGAAGGGTGGGAAGAAGGAAAGACCAAAGTGAAAAGTCTGACTAGGAATAGAGTCTCCCCAGAGACTTGCTTCCTTCTGATTGCTGGGAGATGTTCAAAGAGAAAATGCACCATAGTTAGTTGGTGGAACTGATTGATATTGGGGAACAGGCACTGCCGCGTGCATGAGCCAGCCCGTCCTGCTGAGGGGGGGATGGTTCCAGGAAAGAGCAGCTGTGAGGTTCTTGCAGCAAACCCTCCAAGCACAAAGATAAGGGGCTTCAGCACAGCACACTCTTATTACCCACTGTACACTTGTATTAGAGACACTCTTAGCCATGGTGCTTCGCTGAATACCATCAGACAAATGTCTTGGAATTCGTATTCATGCAATTCCCAGACTCTATTATGACCATGCACTGATTGCCAAGGACTCTGAACATCACCTAGGGCAGGGCCAAAGTAACTACTTTATAGAAAGATGAAGGGTAGTTTTTACCGTATCGATCAGTTATTTGGAACTGCACCCAGCAAAGTGATTTTTCTATTCTTTAGTTAAAATTATGAAAATGTTCCTTTGTGCTAGGGTTTGGTGGCACACACCCTTTAATCCCAGCACTTAGAAGGCAGAGGCAGGAGAATCTCTGTGAGTTCAAGGCCAACCTGGTCTACTAAATGAGTTCCAGGACAGATAGGGTTATACAGAGAACTTCTGTCTCAAAAAACAAGACAAAAGAAAAATAATAATGACAAAAATGTTCTCTTGCATAATTGTAATAAGAAAGTCATTGTTAACTGGCCTGTATGACTTGTCCTCTCCTAACTGTCAGGCAGTTTGGCAGCATAGAGTCACAATGTAGGGTTTCAATATATGTATATACGTATGTGTGCATGCAGGAACATATGGAAGCATCATTTTGCTCCAACACCTTCATATTCTCCTTCCTTTCCTTTTTTCTTTTCTTCTCTGTATTTCTATTTCTTTTTCTCATCATTAAAATAAGAATGAGGTCTTTAAACTCTATAACATACTTTAACATGAGTCATTTGCACAAATTATTTACCTAATGAAACCATTCAATAAACATGAACTAAATGCAACTGGGAACAATGTCAAATTAACTCAATTTTCTTACACAAACATGCTATACATTTTTATTATTTCCATCCATGTAATAAAAAGATTTTTTTTTCCTGAGAAGGCCATTTTCCTTTGTGAAACATAAAAAACAGAATATTTTTCAACTCTCCTCTTGACTTCCCCTTCTCTATTTATGTTGAGTCTGACATCGGAAATGATAGAGTTCAATTCCGGGCAAGTGGTTGATGTTAAATGCAGTGTCTCTGAGGCCCTGTCTGTATGAAAGGGTATCAGCATCTTGTCTGAAACAGCCTGTCACTAGGGGTTTTATCCTATGATTATCTAAATTAGGGTCTAGGCTTAGCTGAGACAATAACATCCACAACAATCCTCAGTTTAGTAAAGCCAAGGGTAAGTTTAAAAACCACGGTTGAAAAACAATCCAAAGTTTCCCCTTATTTTTACTCAAGCGTGCTTTCATCTACCAGCCCCACTGCTGAGAAACATGAGAATATTTCCTGCAGAATGGAACAAGAATTATAATTTAGAAAGAGAAAACGGCGTGAAAGGAAAAAAGTAAGATGGGGTGCTGAAGGTAAATAGGACATCTGCATAAATTTTTCCATCCCCATAAGATATTTGAAAGTTTTA